CAGTTTGAGTAGATATGTTGGTTTATTGTGTCCAAAAGAAGCTGGACCTTTGCTCTACTGACTGTGAGATTTTTGTTTGGGTGTGAGCTCTGAAATATGCTTAGCATAGCATTTTAAGACCACAAAGATAGTTATTGTCTGGCCGATGATTTTTTGGATTTTGCAAAAATCCAAACAGCTTTCTATTTCCTATCTTTTTTCCAAAAAGTTACTTTAGTATATTTATTTCATTGCAGAGTAACTAGGCCACCATTCTTGTCCTAGTATAAATGCTAAAGCTGTTAGCATAAAGAGTTGTAAATAGTGTTAAAATAAGGCCTGAAAACTTGACTATTGACTTTAGGTGACTTTTTATGTAGAAAAAAAACACAAGTTAACACAAAGCCTAATCAGGCTGGTGCCTAACTAGAAATTATGATGCATTTTACTGTCTGACAATAGAATTAGAAGCCCCCCCTGCGACCCGAGTAGGAATAACTAAAGAATGACTAAATAAATGTAAATATTTAGAGTTAAGAGTGGACGTGCAGGATTTTATCTGGACGTGCACGTCTTCAGTTTATGTCGGGTTACCAGGCTCACTCCTGGTTTCGGTCGTTTAAAAAATGTATTTTGTTCTTTTTTTGGATACCTCTCAACCCTTCTTTCTTTTTCCTGCTTTAACTATCTTTTCCATCTCTTCCTGAAGCCCACATCCTTCTCCTATCTCTCTCCCCCCGTCTCACCTCACTCACACTAGATAACCACTCAGCAGTCGGTCTGACACCAGGGCCCTATGTGCCCTATGTGAGCCTAACCCTAACCCGGTCCACTGTCTGGGAGCCACTACACACAAACATTTAGTTTACACAAAGGTAGACGCAGAGGACCATCTATTTACGTCCACCAAAACCTTTTTTTTGGGAACAACTTTTTTGATTATTTTAACCCTATAATGCCAAATTATAACAGCCAGTAGAAGACTGCAACTAAATATATTTGACTTATTGCACGCTAATTTGATCAAAATAAATTCTGTTTTTTTTTCTTCACATGTTGTTGAGGGGCCAAAGAAAGACTTCAGACTAAAAAAATCCAATATTCGTCCTATTTTTCTTGGATCAGGCTTTAAAGAGTTAAAGAGAAACAGGTACATTAGTCCGATAAATGTAAAAGGTATATTACAACCTAACACAACAGAAAGGAACATATAAAACAAAACAAAAAAAACAGGCTACGACCCCCCTTGGACCATATTCCAACAACATAC